TTCCAGGGATGGGGCATCCACCACCTCTCTGGGCAACCTGGGCCAGGGCTTCACCACCCTCAGTGTAAAAAATTTCTTCCTTATCTCTACTCTAAATCTGCCCCCCTTTAGTTTAAAGCCATTCCCCCTTGTCCTGTCACAACAGGCCCTGCTCAGAAGTCTGCCCCCATCTTTTTTATAAGCCCCCTTTAAGTACTGACAGGCTGCAATAAGGTCTCCCCAAAGCCTTCTCTTCTCTAGGCTGAACAACCCCAACTCTCTCAGCCTTTCTTCATAGGAGAGGTGTTCCATCCCCCTGATCATTTTCATGGCCCCCTCTTCTGCCCGCAGAGATGATGGGAAGAGATGTCACATGAGGAGGAAAAGGATGGTGTGACAGTACTCACTGATCTGAAGATCATGTGCAGTGGCATGGCGATATTTAAGTTCAGGGCATAGTTATTCACCACACTGACAGTGAAGAACATGGCCACCATGATGAAATAATACCTGAAACACAAACACAAGAAAACCAGCTGATAGCGGTGCATGTACCTCCCTGGGATGCTGGGAGACACCTTGGGAACAGATTACGGGTTGCAAGGACAGGTCTGGAGCTGAGCAGGAGCCCACCTAGCTCTTGGGTCTGTGACAAGGACTAACAAGGAGATCACTCCACTTTGGATGTAGCAGGGAAGTCCTTAGAACAGGAAGCAAGCTGACCTGCACTGGCTCAGCTAGTGCTAATCTCAGAAGCAAAGGGGAACTGAGGATACCCCAGCTGGGATCTTCTAGCATGGACTTCCTCCAGACCCCTCTTTCCTAAGGACAGTGGTATAAGACAAGGCTTGATTTGAGGGGATTCAATTTCTGCCAGCAGGCATTGCTACCCTCAGTGGAAAGAGAAACTATTCAAATCCAGGCTGAACACCTCCATGGTTCTACACCTAAGCTAGAGAGCCTCCACAAATTGAAGTTCCTCGCTGTGACGTAGCCATGAATGACACTAAACTTGCCCTCAGCTTTCCGTCATGAGGATCTCTGTCCCGAGCACTCAGCACAGAGCTCTGTTTTGCCACGGGCTAGGCAGTCTGCTAAGGAGCTCCACAAAACGTCCTCACTTCACTTCAGCCACTGAGTGCCAGGGAGGAGAGCATGAACATGCCAGGCTGTTGCCAGGACAAGATCAGCCCTGATGGAGAAATGCAAAAGTGAATTTGGCTGGCTTTCCAGTAAACCTCTCCCTCCCACGCCCATTGCACCAAGCCCCAGAGAGACAGTAAGCTCTTCAAACACAGCAAACTCTTAACTGTGCAAAATACTGCCCTGTTTCTTGGACAGGAAAGTATCTGATGGCAATCTCCTATTAAGAATTCTCGATAAACACGGAGTTCATATTTTATCAGGCATGACAGGTTCTCAATGAGGCTTCGCAAATGCTGCAGAATGGATGGGACTCAGGATAAACGGATAAGCCATTTTATTAAACACTTCTTGAGATAATAGATAGACAGTCAATTTGTGCTTAGCAAAAGTGTTCAGATCAACTGTACCTTATTGGTATGGCCGGCCTCTTCCTCCCAAAGTTGGCTTCGAAGATAAAGCCTTCTACCGCAATAAATAGGAACTGGGAGAATGTCACTATGTTCCCACATCCTGGAAACTGCCTGCAGGCATGGAGAAGAAAGACAAGCATAAGAGCAATGCCATGGAGAACAAACACTGCATTGGGCTCCAATAAAAAGAGGCTAACAGCTCATAATCCCAGAGTGAGCATCAACCTGGAGGGGCTTTACCACTTTATCCGTCCAGGTTCTCACGTTGCCTTTGTTAAACACTTCCCTGCACGTATTTATTCACCTATACTTGTAGATACATGTGCAGCAATCCCTTCCTCAAAGATTTCCAAAGAGGAAGCGAGCAGCCACCCCCATCATGGGGCACATGGTGAATTGGGTCAGGAAGTAAAAGAGGAAATTGGTCACATTTCACAGGTCTGTATAACATCCCGCCAGGATCTGATTGAGCAACGTCAAACACCGACATAACCCTACTGAAGCTGGATCTCCCTCTTTCTCATGGGGAAGTGGTTTTGATAGGGCTCTCTCCCTACCTACAAGCTGCTGTGTTTGTTAGAGGCCAGGTGAAACAATGAGTCCACCCAGGAGGAAGGCAGCAGGATTTCCGATAGCCCTTATTTCCACTGCATGACGGAAGGGCCGAGGTCAGGTCCATGTCTGCAGAGTAAGGCGTAATGTCCATGGTTCTGCTTGTACCTCATCCCCAGAACATGTGAACATAAGCTCGGATCTGCTTTCAATTTACCCAGCAAGCTTTAGCTCTCTGCCCTCCTGCATTTGCTGGACACCAAAAGGTTGGTTGTAGGTTCAAGAAGGAACGTACAACAGCTCATCATGGAAGCCCAAAAAGGTTGTGACATTAAATGCCACGATAGTCAGGCAAGCCGAGGAGCTTGCTAATGTGACACATGCTTTGCACTGAAGTTTTCAAACTCCACAAGGTATTGAAAGCCACAAAACAGTGTCTGACCTTGAAAGAGACCCTCCTAGCTGAGCATCTTTGTCCTCCCAGAGAGACCCAAGCACTGCAGTTATCACTACCTCTGCAGCGGAAACGACACCACCTTTGAGATAATCAACCTTGTGTGTTTATTCTGAGGGAAGAGGAATTACACACAAGGACAAGACAGTCCATAACAGCCTGACATTAAACAAACACTCCCTGCGTGTTGCTCACCCATTCCTAGCAGACATGCCTGCTGCAGACTCTGCCTCCTTCCTAAGAAGCTTACAGGGAGCAAGAGAGGATTGCCTGGGAGGCACACAGTCAGCTGTGGGCTCAGAGGAGGCTGTGACATGTCAGATAATCAGAAAGCTCGCTGTTATTTGCAGCGGGAGACAGAGGAATTTGAGCAAGTACTTCCCCTTTCTCTGGTGCAAGACAGAAACCAAAGCCAAGGACTTGATGGAGAAGCTGCACGCCTCTGAGTCCTGATCCTCACCCTGCTGCACAAACATGCAGCTTGCTCACGCAACATGCCGTCACAAGTAGTTAGAGGCTGGGTCTAGACACAGTTTTGCAGAATGCAAGCTGAGAGATGACTGGAGGACAGGAATAACCAAGCTGTCTCCTGGATAGCTGAGCTGAAGGTCTGGTCTCCTTCAAAACCTCCCTTGTCACCCCCCAGACTTCTCAGGAAAAGCAGCAGTGCTCTGGTTAATGCAGAGCTGGCACGTGGCTGCCACCAAACAGCATGTGGAAAGGCCATCTTCTCTCTGCGTTTTCCACAGGGCAGGCGCTAGCCTGAGCCCCTCCCCTCTCACCCACCTGCCGATTTTCACATTTTTCAGAGCTTAATTGTCCATGAGACTTCAATCCCTGCTGTGCAATGAGGTTAAAAGGTTCAAAAGTTACTTGGGGGAAGAGAAGAGATACGGAACTGAAGACAGAGGCCAGGCTCCAGGATTGTAAACCTTATCTCTATAGGAGAACAGAAAGCAAGTGTAAACTTGGAATATACCATGTTTTCATGCACTAGACTTTGCTTCCTCCCAATTCACAGATCCTTGCATTCAGTCACTTGCTGTACATATGACCTCATATTATCAGTAAAGTGTTGACACGGGGTTATTTGTTGACTGATAATAAAAAGACAAACAAACAAAAAACCCCTCAGGCTGTATCTGCCCATGTCTTTGACTCACAATCCTAACACACTGATAGACCTAAAAGAAGTGACAAGAAGTCTGGATATATCAACCAAAGATCTGCTTTAGCTGTAGCCGACTGATAAAGAGTCCTCCAGAAGCAATGTAGAAACACTATGATGCGATTGTCACCCTGCCTCCTAGGACGGAATTGCCTGGGCTGTCAGTGTCTAGCAGCCCTAGCAGATACTGGGATGAAACAGCCGGAGTGGGGCTTTCGGTCATGTCAGCGGAGCACAAACAGACTAGCCCAATTTCTTGACATCAGTTTGGGGCATGCTGATGCAGAGTATTCTCATTCAGAGTTCAACACAACCAAATCACTTCTCCAAGGAAGATTTCTGTCCATCACTTAAGAAGACTCCACATTTCATAGAGAATTCCTTCAATGGCCCCTGCAGAAGAACACCCCTCCCCATTTGCACCATAAAGGGAAGAAACCCTGTTGAGATCTACCACGCGGAGCCTCAACCGTTTTTACGGAGAAGGCACCTCACAAGGACACAGCTTCAGAGGCGAAGAGCAGATCACGGGCTTTCTAACCAGGCCTGTACGTACATGCCACACAGAGCTTTGGCATCATGGCTCAAAGGCAGCCTCCCGGGACAACTAGTAAAGGACACTAGCAGAACAGGTTGGCTTGCTCCAGACAGGGAAAATGGGATGAACTGGATGGCGTTTCTTGCCCCTGTCCAGGCCTCCTCCTGTTATTCAGACAGGGGCTTGTTTAACTTGCTCTTGAAAACCTCCAGTGAGGAGTTTCCCTGCTCGCTCTCTTACGAACCCACTTCGCTACACTGAGAGAGAGCAAATCTGGGTTTTTGGCCTGCTTTACATCCCTTTAAGCCCCTTATTTTTTGTTCTGCCTCCAGAGCACAGCAGAAAAATTTATCTCCTCTTCTCTGCAGCCATTCTCCACACATTTAAAGTCCTTTGTCTGTCCTCAGGCATCTCTAGACTAAACAGTTCTCATTCCTTTACTTTTTCCTCATAAATCCTGAGCAAATTTCTTCCAATCACCTTTGTTATTCCCCACTAGACTGTCAGTCTGGCTGCTGCCTTTTCCTGTGACCCTGCTCCAAGACTTTGCTTGTTATGGGAAGATTCATCTTCAAAAGGGACTTCTTTCCCTCTAGACAACACCAAGACCCAAAGAAATAACTAGTGTTACCCCAATTTAGGGACCAAAGGTGAACAGGTCAAGAGAGGGGCACAGGAACTGAGCTGTCAGGAACAGGGGAATTTCTAAAGTGGATGAGAGGCAATGCTTAAGAGAAGTTTGTGTGTAAAAGGCAGCTTTTCTTAGATATCTGCAGTTGGACTTTTAGGATTTGCTGCTCAAAATCCCTTCTGGGGTTTAGACACCCAATGCAGCCTTTAAGTAGGGCCAAATGGCTCGCTTTTAAGGTCTGGCTGGAGGACACACAGGCCTAGCGTGTCTTGCAAGCATCTCGCAAACAAATGCAAGAAGCCAGACCCAAAGCTTTCTTCACCTCGAAGGGGCCCACTCCTCCGCCCTCACTGATGTTGCAGCACAAGCCAGGCAGGGAAGGCAGAGGTTAGAGCAATCCCCGAGAGGAAAGACAGCTCGCCACGCAAGGCCTCTTCCTCCAGGAACTGCTTCTTGATTTATCCAGCGATTGCCGAGTGATTGTGCAACCTTGTGTTAAGGTACCTGCGTCCCGGCTTCCCACTTCGAAATAAATATCCCCACTGCTGGCTTACAGAGTCAGGCTCTCTTTTGCACTCCCTTTTTCTCTTAACAATCTGGGATGATGATGGGCAGGAAGGAAATAAGGGCAGGTTTTAACTACTAGTTTCGAAAGCCTGGGCGTGACTGAAGTGAACATAGTACTGAATGGTCAGGGGATGCAGCTCCACACTGACTTACTAGGGTTGCAGACACAGAACCAGTTCAATGATTACTTTTTTCCAGTCAGGCCTAGCACTTTTGCCTTCACAGCTCGCTGACCAGCCCTGAAAACAAATCCAACAGACCACCACCTTTTCCAAGCCATGCCAGCCTTCCTCCATCAGGGTGAGGAAGGTGATGCAGCGCTCGGATGTACCCCAAATGTCAGCCCTCCTCTCTTTGCAATCTGGCAATTTGCCTTTGCTCCGACTGCCACAAAGGACTCCTCGCCCTCATCACGTTGGCTTTGCAGCCATGTGATGCTGCCGAAGATCACATTTCCAGATGGGCGATGTTCCCTTGGCCCTGCCTGCCGTCCCCGGGGACCCCTAGCCAGCTCCTACACGTCTTCTCCTTGGGATTTCAGCTGTTACTGAGGTGCTGGGCTCAGAGAGCAGGGGTAGGGGGAATGCTTTAGGGCCAGACTGATGCAGTGGCCCATGTGTCAGGAGAGACGGGAGATCCCTGGTGCCTGGGCAGGATACCGAAGCGGCCCATGATAGGACCAGACTGGGCCCAAGACGATGGGGACACCCCCTAGAAAAACCCACAAAACCCATCAGAAGGTGACACAACAAGGCCAGGACCCGGCGATCCACACCCTGGCTCCTCTTGGCACCCTGATGAGGAGCCCCGGGGCCTGGGGTTGCCCCCCCAAGCTGTGAGGGGGCCGGCCACCCCGCCGGGACCGCAAACCCCCTCAGGGCCAGCCCCAGGCTGGGTGCCAGCCCCGGGTGC